AGGGGCAAAACCATATTTCCCTATTGATACATACACTGTATTTTATGAAATTTCCAAAAGGTAAACGTACAAATGTTGAACCTGGTTATTTCTGTTAGTTACCGGACCCAAAACTCACCGTATTATAACAAAAATGCATTTAACAAAATTAATTCTAACTTCTCCCATCCCTTAAAAAAACATTGGTCTATCTCTGGAGAGGTGACCCTGCTCACAATAAGAATCCATGTTTTTCAACGCAATAAAGCACCTAACTGAATAAATGCAAGAGAGATATATTTAATGCAATACTGTGGGAGTAATAATAAAATAATAAAATCTCTGTGGACATGAGCAAGTGGCATACCCTCCACATTAATGTTACATAGTGTATAGTACAGTCATTTGACACATTAAGCCATCTAATAGCACATTTTCACAATGAGTTAACAAGTAATTTATCCATCTTGAGCGTGGTAATGATACTGACGACAGCAGTATCAGCCAGTATTCTTCTACAGAAGGAATGGAGAGCTCTCAGTTTCTGTTGAGTCATTTAGATAATCCCTGTCTGTCATTTTCAACATACCACCACGTCACATAGACAACAGCTCATTAGCAGTGATGGAAAGAATACGTTGAAAAAACTTTCCAAATAATTTCCAAGCAATACAATTTGCATAAGTTATACATAGTTACAGAATAGTGAATGTCTGAATTAAAATGTATTTTGTAACATATTCTGTTACATGGTCCAATCAGAGTACTGTGTTCTGAATACTTTTACACTGAGTTGCATTATAGTTTAGTGTAAAAAACATGGCATAATTACAAACAGCTTTATTTTGATGATAGACATTAATTTATGTCTAATTAGAAACAAAAACTCAGGCATGCGCACACTGCAAGAGCAATGTTTTTCTTGGTAATACTGTGCAGCTTAAAGCCAAAATTGGAGAATGAAGACAGCACTGCCATTTATTTCTTATAATTTAGGAAAGTAACTATATTCTGAATACCACTAAATGAAAGCGTAACACTGCTTATTAGCATATGCCAGTCATGACAAAAGGAACCACTACAAAGCCCTGAGCAACCTGCATTTTAAACCAGCCCGGAACAAGACGGCACCCAACCAGCAGAGCCACCAAAAAATACTATTCAGCCATCAGAGACCCCGGAGAGCACCTGATTCATTTCTACTTGAGGGCTATTAATCTTTTCAAGCAGCACTTTGCCTCTCAGGGATGGAGAGCGGAGATTGAGTTTTCTATTACAATCGAGCAAAGAAAGAAGGAGTGTGTGGGTGAAGGGACTGTGGCCACATTGTCCTTGCCGTTGCCTTATAAAAAAACAAAAAAAAAAACAACTAAAAAACACAGGGGACATGATTATTAGTTGGGTCAGACTGATTTATAGGCAACCGTAATTGTATAAAGATCCTTCTAAGAAGCTTGGGTGATGTGAATGCAAGAAAGATCATTTATCTTTGCAATATTGATTAAATATTGGTCACTAGCAGTTTTTCAAATGTTTCCACAATGACACAAGAGGTGAAACAGAAAATGGGAAAATTACTTGGAATACATGGGGACTAGAGACTGATTATAAAACTGGTCAGGTGTCTACAAAACCAGAAATATTTATTTTGGAGAAAATTTTGTCATATAAGGAAATCATTATTAATAGAGGAGAATATGACAGTTACTGGGGCTCAGTGTTGGGAAGGTGACTTTTAAAATGTATTCCCCTACAGATTACAGATTACATATCCCAAAATGTAGTTTGTAATGTAATCCATTAAATTACTTAAAGTGAGTAACGTAATCGGAATACTTTGGATTACTTGATTTGCTGTAGAGAAGCAAATCATCTTCTGATATTGTAACATAAGATGTTTTGTCTGCTAAAAGAAAATAAAAAGCCCAGACTTTACTGAACCGTATTAAAAATATTATTGACAGAAGACGAGGAGACATGGTCCATGCAGCATGATTTAGTCCTGTTAAATCCTGTTTTAGTCCTGTTTTAGTAGTGGTTTAGATCTGGTTTAGAGCTGGTTTTAGTCCTGTTTTAGACCTGGTTTAGATCTAGTTTAGAACTGGATTTAGTCCTGTTTTAGACCTGGTTTTAATCCTGGTTTAGATCTACTTTAGTCCTGGATTAGACCTGGTTTAGATCTAATTTAGACTTGGTTTAGTTTCCAGCAATAAGTGGAATTGCTGAAAAAAAAAAAAAAAGAAAAAGAAAAAAAAAGGGGGATATGGCCCAAAATGTGAAAACAGGAAAATACCTCCATGTAATCCATTTATTTCAACAAAGTAACAGTAATCCAATTACCACTCACTGAAACAGTAACTGTAACTGAATACAGTTACTCTGATTACGTAACTCTGGTACATGTAATCTGTTACTCCCCAACACTGCCGGGGCTATGTACATTTTCCCCATGTTATTAAGTAAAATCAGTTTTGCCCTATACAGATCATCTAAAAGCAGCTACTGGAGTGAAAATGAGAATGGTGTATGCCGTCCTAATCCGACTGTACAGCTATTTCTTTATTGCAAAACAGGAAGTATGGTGTTAGCATGCTAATGTCTATTAGCTTTACCGGGACTGTAAAACTCTGCTCTGCCCTCTGAACGTTGCAAAAAGTGCTCATAAATTCATTGTGGTGAATAATTAGGATGCTCAGAGTGCATGAGATGAGAACTAAATTGGACACAGCAAACAGTTTGAAATGAACTATTTCTGTTTCTCTGGTAATGCACCTTTTAATTTAATACTAGTTTTACATTTACTTGTCGGTTAAATGTTAAAATTAGATTACACTCTGACCCTTCACCTTAATGCTAAGCTAATGACAACATGATAAATAATACGACTGCACCTTCTGCATATCTGATCATCACCATTATCCACAGGGTCACAGGACACGAACTACACCAGTTACCGCCATCCAATTAATCAAAGTTAAGTCAAATCAGAACATAGACTCCCCATTAACTACAGCCTTGTATCATTTGTTTGACACATTCATTACATAACACAGACTCCTGAAAAATGTTCAACGGAATAGGAGGATTAATTGCAGAAAAAGAACTGCTCGGGACGGCCTCTACGCTTGGACATAGAAGCTACTTTAACATGAAAAATAGCAACATAGCAAAGTGTCACTTAATCAATGTGGAAGCCCAGCAGGCAGAGCAGAGCAGCACTTGAGGGGGGCTGTCTGGTCCCTAGACTCATGTCCCTTGAATGAGGAGGAGGGGGGTTTTAAATGGGCCAACTTCCACAGAGTAACTCATCTCAGTAAAGGCATGATGGCACTAGCTCCCTGGTGGCCGCTGTGTGTGGAGTCCGTGTCCTCCTGAGAGGTGCTTAACAACATCATCTATCTCCATAATACAATCCCACAGACGCCACCATCCCGCAGAGCCATCATCACCAATGGATCCTGCACTGATCACCGACCTTCACGAAGAGTGGAGAAGTGCCTGGAAAAGCCCAAATGTAAGTAGCTGGGGATGTGTGATAAACCACTGTAGACAGAAAAAAAAAAAACCATGTAGCTTTGATCTAATTACTTAGAAATTCCACCTAAATTCTTGGTATAAAACTATCACAGATATAACTAACACTGTCCAATTGTTACAGACAAAAATGCAAAAAGTTTGACTGGTGATACCATCGTATTGAAATGACAAGTTCTGATGGAGAAATTGCATTCCTGTGCTGTGTCAGTCCCACACTGCTACCACAGCTCTGGTTATCTTGGCATTTGTCATCAGAGGTATAATGCTCCCTACAACAGAAGAATAGCCAGACGAGACTGGAATGGACAAAAATATCATAATGTCTTGAGGGTAAATAAACTCCTGTATTAAAACTGCAGCCTCGTGTTTTGCTTTCTAACTCTCCAGCTTCTTCAATCCATTCTACAACAGGTTATTTTCCCCAATGACTCTAAATAATTACAAACATCAACTTGTATCACTTGAATATGTATCTCATATTCACTCAACTGTGACATGTTTGATTGGCACAGAACGTAATAGACCCTGGCAAGGATGTCAAGAATACCAGGAAATAAAGCACAGTAACACAGGAAGGAAGCATGCATGTAGACTCGGCACGTTCAGAATGTGTCATTTATTAGTGGGATAAACCCACACCCCACAAGTATTCAGTTTACTCCCCCTAAAGAAATATTGTCTTCATATGCATTCTAGGTAAGCCTAAGGTCAATAACGCTTTGCCTTCTACTTTACAAACACATGCCTTCACTTAGACTCTAGCTCAAGGCTCTGCTGACAGCCTTTTTCAAGATTTAATACATAATTCATAACAGTCCAAGATGAGAAACCCCCACATTATCAAATGAAATCCCAAATCTCATGGAGGCGAACAAGGCAGGAATAAAAAGGTGGCCAGTGGTGATAAGACAAGTGGACATCTTGGAGGCAGAGTAAGCTGTAGAGTCGATTTGTCTGCTATGGCCATGTACAGAACTGGATGTGAAGGTTTGCAGTCTGGAGCCCTAGGGTGCCTTTATCTCTCAAACAAACAGCCCCACGCGTACTCCTCATCTATCTGCCTGACGTGTGCTTCCCTGTTCCCTCTCTTGCCTTCTTAGTCGCGGCCGATGATATTGAGCTGTGTGTCGGCGGCTCCTCCTCCATTCATGTCAAACGAATCAATCTCTCCCTGAGCGCACAGTCTTTTCCACTTCAATCATGCTGCAGCTTTAAGGGAGTGCTTTTCTTTCATTTAATAGGAGAAAAAAAACGCCTCTCTCCAAGTAGCTCTGCCAGACACTTCAGATGAATGACAAAGACAAATGCTTTGCCAGCTTCTTGGAAAACCATTACTACATTGATTGTTTGAAGCCAACATGAGTATATAAAGAGATTACAGCTGTTAGTTACTGATGTTCAGAGATTCAGAGAAGTAAAGTGGGCACAGGATTAGACTGACACTGAATGCAGTGTGAAAGAATAATTTATACCACACCAAACAGTAAGATGGGAAACCATGAATATTTATGTTGAAGATTTAGTCATTAGGCAAGACATACACTGACTAATGGTAAAAACTATCTATATAAGATCAAAGAATGTAATGGAATTATGAACTGGTACAAATTTGTGCAAATGATATTATTAAAATAATATTATAATAATCCAAACTCATGGTTGCAGTCTGAAAAAATTCCATAGAATATAAATATTCCAAGTATATGAGGTTTGACTTGAAGTAGGTGGTGATTGCTGGATGCAAAAGTCAAGTGCAGAGACAATCAAACTGTTCACAGATCTACTGTATTCCACTCCAGGGAAGCCTACACTACTTAGGTATTCTTTCAAAATCCATATCCTCAAACATGTTTCACTGATAATCACTCTCTTCACAGTTCTCCTGGACGATATGCAGAGGATTCTTGCGTGGATTTACTTCAAGGAAATTCCCAGCATTCCCAGTCTTTTCTGAAGCAGCACTCTTGGTATTTGGGACGGCATCCTGTTCGCTGTGGCTAGAACGTGTCTCCTCTGTGATTGTCAGCTCCTCCAGCTCCTGAATTAGCTGCCGGGAGCTGTGTGCAAGTGTGTGCTGGGCACTGGTTTCCTTGTTGGCTGTCAGAGGAGTGTTGAAGCTCCCCCGGGGGATGGTGCAGCTGGTGGAGCTGGAGAGAGGGGGGCTGTGCTGACGTAGCTCTCCTCCTCCTCCTCCTCCTCTCTCCTCGTGTGTGTTTGCGCAGTCTAGCCCTTCGCTTTCAGACTCCTCGCTCTCAGACGACCCACTGCTGTCACTGGAAGTGCTGCTGCTGTTGCCGTGGGATACCACAGCTGAATTCTCCTCTTCTTGCACGAGAAACGCAGCTTTTTCCAGCTCCTCAAGCTCAAGCCCCAAGTCCTTTTTCTCCAGGGAGGTCTTTTGTAATGCACCGGCGAGGGCAGTCACCTTCTTGGACCTGCGCAGATAGAGAGGAGTTATTTTTATTTTGTTTTATGTGCCTCACATGGAAAATTGACTTTTGGAACAACTTGATTTATCTGTTATATTTGTATTTCCAATAAGGATGTGTACACATTTTAAATGCACAGTGTGAAATGGATTTATTGTTTTAGTCCTGCTCTTTTTCAAAATATCACTTTTGCAAATGGGCTACTTCTTCCTGAAAGAACACTCCGACATCACTGGGACATGGAAAAGCGGAAATGAACCATTGTGAATAAGAAATAATAAGTTAAGAAAGACATTGAATTAGCTTTTTCCCTTACAATTATCAGGGGCATTATTCTTTTAGTCTTGACAATAGTAATGTGTCACGTGAGACAGAAGTGAGAACTGCTACAGTAATTCTGTCACTAACACACCACTAACCACATATTCATGAAATACATATGCAAAATAAAGTACACTAAGTAGGCAATACAGGACAGAGGGAACTGATCTACCAAGCTTTAATTTAAGGAAGGAAATTCGATCATAGAGACATTTCTTAAACAATGTTTTTTTTTTTTTTTACACTTCCTTCATTTAACATTGTGTCTATCAAGGCAGTGGGTAGGTCAAACTGGGTTGGCTTCTATTTCTGTAATAGCAACAGTGACAAATTCTTAGAAAAAAAAAAAAGGAAATGTACAAGCTCTGTACAGACATAGCCAAAAGATTATTAGATTTGTAGATATGAGTGGATACTACTAATTTTAATGTTAAATAGTCCAACTGAAAGAGTGCAGAGGGATAAATGAAATGTAGATTTATCAAGAATCTACGATAATATAAGTTAACAGTGTGAGGAGAGTGAAGCACAAAAAAGGAATGATGTGACAGAAATCAGAAAGAAAGGAAAACATCCATATAAAATAACACCGCAAAAGCCTTGTCTTGTAACATCCCTTTTACTGTTTTATTTCAAAGGACACAACAGAAGCTGAAAGAAACATTTATTGCTGATGAATGTCCTCCTCACTTAAAAAGAGGAGTGGACGCTACACATTATTCATGGCTGCTGTGCTGTCGAAAACTATTGCGATCAGGGAGGGTGTGCGGCCCCAACTGCCATGGTGATTACGGGTGACCTCTTGGGGTCATCCAAGACTACTGAGATTTGGGGTACGCATACATGGGTGGGGCTTTTGTAAAGGGAGGAGGTAATCTTGCCTACTGTTCCACTAAACTATTCTCATTTTCACACTGCATTGACTGCCCTCTCAGGCCCAATTAACCCACTGCTGGGAACCTAGATGGCTTCTCATTACAGACTCGTCCTAATGAGCTCCCTGTTCTGGTGAGTCAAGTGTTTCTGAGCGCACTGAGTAGGGGGACGTGTATTCATTTAGAGCCCCTTTAGAGACCGTGTAAACAGATCTTATAGTGGGGCAGAACTACATGGATGCGTTCCATCTCCGAAACACAAAGGGTAAAATGTTTGAAGTGAGGCTGTGGGGTGCAACACACATAGATTCTATTCACTATAGGGAGCTGTTCTGCATCACAATATGGCCCATGTAAAAACTGTAGCTGTGGTGAGTTTCCTTCCAAGTCCCTATTTTGTTATGAAGCAGAAACCGTTCAGAGGCTTCATTATTTTATAGTGAAGACAAAAGACGCCTATTAGCAGGTGTTAGGCTAATCACACACCACCTCGAATGTATTTTTCAGGCTGCTTAAAAGCACAACAAATCCACAAAAATATAATTTGTTTATACATTAAGTAGTTTAAGATCTTTTACACATTCATTCATTCATTCATTCATTCAAACAATCACATACTTAGAAGACACAAGAGGCCAAAGCATAATGTCAACATAAACTTTGGAGTTGGTAACAAATACAGTAAAAGCTACAGCTGCCTGGGTGCGTGCTGATGGCAAAAACATGCTCTCAAATGGACACATGTGAAAGATACTTGGCACAAACCGAAGATCTGTGTGAGTACTCCAAACCACAGAATTCTTTGGATCAAAAATGGCTTGTGTTTTTAGCTGCATTTCAGAACCTTCACCACTTGTTTTGGAGCGAAACCTTACTAGGAAAAGTCTGCATAGCTTATGAACACAGTTTTTCAATATTTGTGATACAAACTTTTCATCCTGAGTGTTCCTGTATAAAACCACGCGCACCTGACGAGCCTGTCCCAATGAACAGTGTCTTATGTCTCACTACATAAACTCCATGTAAAAGCCTCCTGTAGTTGTGCCAGTGGAGAGGAGCCTCCTTCTGCAGAGCCACTTCAAAGACCATGCCGTATTCTCTTTCCCCCGTGGGAAGTCATTATTGAGTTAGCATTGGAGAAGCGCGCTTGTTTTCTCTCCCCTCCCTTGCTCTGTGGTGGGGGAAGCTGAGCCTGTGGTGAACACAAAGCCTCTGGTCCAAGAGTGGGGGATAATGTTGTACACAATCCAGCCATTAATACAACACCACTGTTGTGGCCTGCTTTAATTAAACACACAGAAAGACTCTGGCTCTTGCAATGTTAGAAAACTTGGGAGACAAACACGTCTCCATCCATTCTGGGACAGTAGAAGTATCTGTGAGGCATCTGATCGAGGGAGCCAATTTACCTCCTGACATTTCCCTCATCAGACATGGTGCTCAACGAAAGGAGCACTCAGTCAACAGCCTCAACAATGGTAGGGAAGATGAATAGCTGGCATTTCAGTCACATGTATAAATCTATGTAATACAAGCAGCTGATGAATGTCACTGAGGTTCACCAGCTGCTTGGAGGAACACTTTATTCACTCTGATGGGAAGGCGAGGCATATTGACTGTAACGACCTCTGAAACAAACCAAAAAAAAAAAAAAAAAAAGAATGAATGAATGACAATCAGATGTTTAGGTAAAAATCTGAGATTGATTTTAAAACATACCTAATACAGATTGTGAATTACTTCCAGAGCATTTTAATACAGAAAACAATCTCAACATCAAAAGTGTTTTCTGTTATATACAACACATGGTGTCATTTTGGAAAAAATCTAAGGTTTCTGACAACATGAACTGGTAACATGCCAGAGGCCCTCTATAGAAAATAAACAGCAAACAGTATTGATATGCAAACTGTAGATCAGTAGTATGATGGCAGGAGGCATCATGCTGAGAGGAAATCTGTACTACTTATTCCTGTTAGCAGGGAGACAGTGGTGCCTTTGTTCTCCCCAGCGGGGCTCCAAGGATCTCCTTTGGTGCAGAGGCTAACATCAGATAGAACAGCTCTACTTGCAGTCTAAAGCTACAGGAGCTGATGCTGCCCTGTGATTCCAGGCCGTTCCACTGAGCAGCTGGATTTCTCATCATAAGGGTGACTTAGAAACAGGAATATGAAGCTGCCATGGTTTGCTACTAAAACTTTGTAAGACCTTTAAAATAAGACCCAAGGAGAAACCAGCAATACCACCTGCTACCACACTATTCCAAGCATACGCAGTTGTGTGCACTTTACTGTGCATACAACAACAAACTCTTATTTATGACTAGTTTCAAATATCAAAAGCTATGTTGGGAGTTTAATGGAGATTTACTCTGTCAAAAAATGACTTCTCCACAAAATTACAATTAAACCAATTCAAAATGATCTTGTAAATGTCCACCAATATATTAAAAAAGCTTTATATATTTTTATATATATTAAAAATAGATAATACACTGTGTGCACATTTATAAGAAAAATTGGTACTTTGACCATTTTTATGCATATTCTCCAACTCTAAACTGTATACACTTGAATTCTTATTGGATTTAATCCTATCAGGTCATGTGTATTTTGTCTAACGAGGGAGGGTGTGGCCTAAGGAGATGAACAGCCTATATCAAGGTGTGCAGAAGTATTAGTGGCTTCTTTTCCTCAGTTAAATGTCTATTTTTAGTCCATTTTGTCTGACTCTGAAAACAACTGTAAAAAATCTTTCAGAGGGATGCAGTGCTCCTGAAATTGCAAAGATAATGGGGCAAGATCACAGAACCATCAAATGTTTTGTTGCAAATAGTCAACAGTGTCGCAAGAAACTTGTTTCTCGTTTTTGGGTTGAAGATGAACTCAAAATGAACTCCAAACCTGCTGCCAGTTTTAGAAGACATTTTCTTTAAGCAGTGGTACAGGAAAAAGTTTGCATCTTTCAAGAAGACCATGATTTTATGCAGGCCAATGCTCCATCGCATGCATCGGAGTACTCCACTGCAGGGCCAGCCTGTAAATGCCTTAAAGATGAAAAAAATAATGACATGACCCCCTTCCCTTCCTGACCTAAACCTTATTGAGGACTTGTGGGCCCTTCTTAAATGAGAGATTTATTTCAAAGAAAAACATTCCACCTCTCTAAACAGTGTCTGTGAGGCTGTGGTTGCTACTGCACAAAAAGCTGATGGTCAGATCAAGAAACCAGCAGACTGGATGAACGGAAGGTTTATGGCCATTATTGAGAAGAAGGGTGGCTATATTGGTCACTGATTTTTTTAATTAATTAATTTTTTTATTTTATTTTTTGAAATGTCAGAAATGCTTATTTGTACATTTTGAGTTGTTTACTATTCTAACAGATCAAAATAAACAATTGAGAATGGAACATGTATATGTTTCATTTAGTTGCGTAATACTTCTTCACATTAAAAGTTGCCCAATAATTGTGCCCATATAGATTGTCTCCCAAGAAAGCCAAAATTTCACTTTTACTTTCTTAAATATTCAGGTTAGAGGTTTATTAACATTTTGGACTGACTGAGAGCACAGTAGTTATTCAGTTATAAAATGAATCCTCATAAATACAGCTTGCCTAATAAATATGCTCACAGTAACTAGTAAAGCATTCAGTTAACTCTTAACTGATAGCCTGACCCTATGCTTAAAGTTGTGTCCTGAGAGGTTCCATGTTGCCGCAACTCCACATGATTTTCCCTGCCTTAGAAGGGGGTGGCTGTTCTCATATCTGTGGATACCTCTGCCCAGTGGTCACTGTCACGCATGCAATGGACGAATGAGCGGAGAGAGGCCGTCTTAAAGTCCTCAGGAAACCATCATGTTTCATAAATAAAAACAACTTCATTTTTGGATGGTTTCTTGGTTAATGTTTTATGCACCAAATCCTTCTTCTTGTCCTCCCAACTGCTCAGTAAAAACTTGTGTTGGAGACTGCTCACTTGACACTTTGCATTCACACTTTTCATGGACAATCCGTGCATGTCCATTGAGGCGTTGCAGAGCGAGGCGTCCAATAAATTCCCACTTGTCAATTTCCACAGTGTCCAATTCACGCTTCTTATTGTTGCAAATGGTTCGCACAAAACAAGCAAGAAAGAGGCCTAATAGATCCATTTTTCCAAGCCGCTAATGACTTCATCTGGAAACATGACTCTTACACTTACCCCGCAGCACCTCTCTTGTATACTGCCGTGTTTTTTCCTTCTGTTGGAATCTAATTGACCCAATTAAATGAGGGTGGATGAGTGGGTGGTTTGGAGGGAAGCGATGCTGTAAAAAAAGGAAGTCTGTCTGATTTAACCGAGGAGGCACTGTAACACAACACCAGGCTTAGGGGCTTTGTGTGCTCCAGGGCTGTGAATCTGCACTGGCCTCTCTCCAAGCGCTTTCCTCAAGACGGGGGGAAGGAGACAAAGGGAGGGAAAAGCAAAGCAAGTAGGTTTTTCTTTGGCGTCCAGCAGCTCTGTGGGGGCTTTGGCATCCAAGGACCTTCAAACACACACTGAAACTAATGGACTGCGGAGGCGCCAAAATCTCGGAACAATTTGCAGATAATTAGGAGTGGTTGGGTGCAACAGATTCAACAAAAGAAGCATCCATTTAGCATTGCAAAAAAAGAAAAGAATAAACTGTTAACACTTTTTTTTTTTTCAGTGTAAACATTAGAAAATGTGGTTTTTGACCAAGAACATCATTTTCAGTAGGGCTTCAATGGTTTAATTGATTGATCATCAAAAATCATCATAGGCATATTTTGACATTATCATTATCTGGACTACACAGACTCTAAAACACATGCCCAAAATGTTTATTTTTTAAAATAGGACAGTAGTAAAGACATAATTTTCAACTAATTGACCAGTCAAAAAATCATTTGCTAACAACTATTAAATAAATAGTGAGTCAAGTCCCCAAAACCTGAGACAACAGTGTAACCCGACAGTGGTATGAACTGTAGATGAAGAAATATGTGCTTACCTACTCTCTAGTAAACAGTGCATTATGTCAAAGGCAGACAGGAAGGACTTCTTATTAAATCACTCTACAGTCTATGTAAGGTTGTAAATTGTAGGCTGATGCCTCCTCTTTCAGACAGAGCTTCAAGACTGGAAATGCACGTGCGACGCTCAAGATTAAATTAATCAAGTCCACCTCCTGCCGGTGAGCATCCATTGATTGCCATGTTGATTGCCACGCGTCGTCAGTCGCCTCTACTGCTGCACAGAGTGACATGATACAGCTCCACCAGAGGGTACAGATTACATCTCATCTTACTGCGCCACTTACACAGAAGACTCACTTAACAGAGGATGACAAATCCGGCACAAGGGAATATCTGCCACTGACGAAAACATAGCATACACGATCTGTCACCAAACCTGTCAGACAACACAAAGAGGCTGCCACAACAACTTGTGTTTTTGATAGCAGAGATTGGCTGCAGTGTGAAAACTGAAAATCTCAAGGTGGTTTGAGCTCTATTGTTGCAACTGAGTGGTCTTTTTTTTTGTACAAGTTTCCCAAACACACACTGAAACAAGCAGTAGACTAGAGAGGTGATAAAAGCTGCTGTACAAGTGGTTGGATTATGCTGTGTAGTATCTTGAAGAGCCCTTGTGACCTTTGGAAGGGAAAATACTCATTTGAAAAAAAAAAAAAAAAAAACTAAACGGAAAAGGATGAAGGCAATAAGTCAAGTCAGGGCTTTGGGAGCAAGGGCTAATCCATTTACTGATCGATGGACAGCCAAGTTGGAGTCAGCGTGTTAGGTCAGACTTGACATTTAGTTGCATTGGAAAGTGGAGATGAACAGCAGTGAGAGGGAGCAGAGGTGAATCGGAGCAAAGCAGCTTCTACAAGACTGATTGAGTCTCTCACTGAGTTGACAGACCTTTACCATGTCCTTACACACCCTCGACTTATTTGTTTTTAATGAGGCAGATTTTCAGCATAAAAAAATCTGCAAATCTGTAATTGAATGTAATGTACAATCATCACTCCTGTTTGGAATCATACTTAATCATTATCTATTAATTATCTATGTAAACATACCCTATCCATAGTCAATCTTGGCATTGCATGTATTTTCAACAACAAAAACTTTCCTTGGGAGTATGTTGAAATCGGAACGTGAGTATGGAAAAAAATGAAATCCCTGCAGACCTTTTATCGTGTCTGCATCTGGGCGCCGAGCCTACAACATCAGGCACACATTTTTCAACTGGGCTTTTTCCAGACAAGCACACCACTTGGCTGAACCCTGGCCAAAAGTAAAACAGCTCATTACTGAGTAATGCGCTCGCAGGCTTACACTTGAAATGTGTAAGTAATTGTAAAATATGAACTCAGGGGTGAAAAGAGCCATCCAACCTTGATCATGAGAGAGGAAAAAGTACATTTAGCATTTTTCGCTTAGGGTTGTAATTCCACCCACCTGAGATATGATGAGTACCAGCGCTCATGTGGACTCACTGATGGTAGTTCTGACATATGATACAGTCAAGGCAGCCTCACAATTTACTGGCTCTGTAAATCACCTGGCTCCTGTAAATGATTCTTCCTACTCCATGCACTCTATTGCTCAAATGCATCATAGAGATAAATAAATAAATAAAAAGAAGCCAGTTGAAGAGTATACCGTATGTGAGTATATTTGTGTATAAACTTACTTGACCCTCTGGATCCAGATGCAGTAATCTGTGATGTACAGGTCATTCAGTATATAGGCTGGCTCGTTCTCTCTGAAGACTTTGTGGACATCAAGCAGGCATTTGAGGACACAGCTTTTCCCTGGGCACAGAACACCAAAGGATGGAAAAACACTGTTATTAGAGCTCTAGTATTAAAGATGACAATGTACTCCAGCTGCTGGCATACACAACATGCATCGACAGGCTTGAGTTCATTGTTCCATACATAAAAGCCAAGGTGGAGGATCAGATGCAAATCACAGTAAGCGGCGCAGTAATTTGATTCATACCATTTCAAAGTTGTTCTAAGAGAATAAGGGCAGTTAATTTAAAAATGCTTAACAGCATCTATCCATTTTGGCAAGCCAAAACTGTACAAAATTAAAAAAAAAAAAAGTCTTTCTCAAATCAGTTAAAGCTGCCACTTGAGGACATGTTAATAGGTTAACAGTATCAATGTTGCCAGCTCAAGAATAGTGTTTTCTTGTAAACAAATTCACAAAAAACAGGAATGAAAGACATAAATATAAAAACATTCTGCTGTATACAATAGAATTCTTTGGCTCATGCTTTATGGGTGACTGTTACACTTTGACAACACATGATGAAATGCCTTTTAACTGGCTTTCAACACAGCAAATGCATCACACATGTAGCGCCACACACAGTGCATTTGTTATTCTGACAAATGACTTTCCTCTCATCTGTACTTTACCAATTTACAGTATATAAATAGCAACATGCCGTGAAAACAAGTAGCAAAAAATATATATCTCCACCTTGGCAGCTCTGGGTGGCATTGTCCAGAGAAATTCCAGTACAAATCCAAATAAACAGGGCACTCGCAGTGAGGAAAACCTTAGACAAACATTTGGGTCTTATTCAAGTGTAGAGCTGCACAGGCGAAAATGCAGGATTTAACTTCCAAAAAAATGTTCCTTCCATTGAACAGCATCTTGTTTGTTGAAAATAAATAGCTTGAAAATAAATAATGATTTTCCTGTAGCCATTTTATTACTGTTATGCAAGGTGTGAGAAAAAAGTGGTTTGAGGTGATTTGTGCTTAATCTGACAACACTGCCAATTCTGTTTTAATCTGTGTGGCATCACGGCTGTATTTAGATGGCATCTGAAAGTCAGTACCACTCTTTCGTTTTCATTTTAATTTATGATGCCCTCTCTTCTCGACAAAGAGGAAATGGAATGACATCATCTTTTTATGATACTCATAGCCATAAAGGGTACAAAAATGACAGATGTAGTAAAAAATGAGACATATGCAAAATGTAATTTACAAACTGAAAGACTAGGCTATTTTGAATTTGATGCTTTATTATAGTCTGAATATGCCTGGTGTTTTGGGAAAATTAAAAACAAATGACATTCTAAAAAAAAAATTACAATGCATTTCTGATCTCCATTGTGGAGAGAAAATGTGCATAAAAGTAAAGCATTCAAATGGGAGAGACTAAACCTGACATAATGAATTGGATTTATATAGCCCTTTTTAAGAGACCCAAAGACTTTAAAGAGCATCATTCATTCACTCTATACAGTGGTTTCACAGCTGCAGTGAACAACAGCAAGGCTGCCAATCTGTGCCATCGGCCCCTCCAACCACCACAATCACTCACACAGTGACAGCTTGCACTAGAGCCACTGCTGTCCCAATGTGGAACCTAATATTTCCAGACACCCTCCATCCATTGACAAATATGATCACATAGTTTGGGAAAGATTGTTTCTAAAAGAGACTCAAGAGAAAATATTTTGCTTGGTTAACATGCACATATTATTTATTTTATTTTTAGTTAATTCATTAATGTGTATTAGTTATTCAGCTGTCTCTACAAAGTCAGACTGTAAGATGTCTATATTGACATGGCTGCACAGTGAGCAAAAGTGCACTCAAAGGTCTGCTGTGTTAGTTTGCTCCTGTCAGTGACATGCTGATGGCAACTGTATAACCCAGAGGAGCAGCTAGACCCTTCATCCTGCAGCCCCTCGGGCTCCTGCCCACTGGCTCTGCTCTTAAAGCCACTCTGAGGCAGGTGGAAGGGCTTCTTGACAATAGGAGCCACATTGCCAGAGGGCTCTTTAAATATTTACCCCTGGATAACTCTTCCTCCTGGGCGTTAACCTGTGTGCTGCAGCCATTACTTGGTTTGTTTTCTTAATACCAAAGACTGTTTGCTTTGCTTTAACTGACACTTAAATAAGCCAAAATTTAGCACACATATTCACTTGCCTCAACCTGACAAATAACATTTAAAGAAAAACTGGAACAGCACACTGCAGGAAAATTAGTGTTAGCAATATCTATTTAGGATGGTGTGTAATGGTAATTTCCTGTGTGTATGCGTCCTTCCTTAGAACAGAGATCAATCTGGAACCTAGCCAATGTGGAGATATAATGATTTAAAACAAAGTCAAAATTCACTTAGCTACCATATACCATATGCAATAAATGATAAATAACAATTGAAGAACCAATAATTTAAAATTGAGATATACATTTTTAACAATAAAATGTGCAGTGACTCTAAATTGTGTAAGTGGCTCTAGTCATCATGTAGTTTAGTAGAATGTGCATGGCTAACATGCATTGGAGTGGTCTCCAGTTGTCACTTCTAATGTTAAAATAATCAAACCTCACATGTCCTGGCTCTGTTTATGTGACTGGTTTTCATGGTCCCTAATCTACTTTTTATTTCCTGATGGGTACAAAGATACTTCATATTGAGCCCTGTTTTGACCGCTTGCCGTTTTGTTTTGATTTTCAAAGTCATCATCTTTTGTAGTATGACTTCATTACTTGTATATTCTGAGCAGTCTTCACATAGCTGTGAACATGGGATCTAGCAAACATTTCTCTCAACTCATCCTAATCAGATCACAGTACTTGACTGGCATAGTGAATACTTCCTGTTTCACTCACTAGCGGCCTATTTCCATATTAAAGCGGCGCTCAGTAGAAACCACAGGGTGGACAAAATCAATTAATACTAATTAGCAGCTATAATGTGCTCACAGTGGAGTGAAATTTATCTTCACTAAGAGCTTGCCTTTACTAGAAGATGTCTACTTTAATTCCAGTCAGACAAAGAGACTACTGGTGTAAAAATAGAGCAGACGCCGAGGGGTCATGACCTGACTGCTAAGGTCAAAGGTTAGTGTGATACTGTGACATGTGACAGTGCTTGTTTGCTCCAGGGTTCAAGACCGCTGTGGTGTTTCTGTCTGCTTACCTAACTGAAGAATCTTGGCTGTGTCACGGATGGCAGCAGAAACCATGTCAAAATGTCTGTACAATGGGAAGCACAAAACCCTTCGCCCAAATGATACCAAGGTGTCCTGCAAGGAACTGTAGGCCTGAAATACAGAGAACAAACTAATGAAGCCCTTCAAAGTGAATGTGTGTTTTTATTATAGATTCACATAACCATAACACACCATCCCCCAATATGATACCTGTTAAATACGTCATATGTGTAATCCATAAATGTGTGGGTGAGGTGGAAAACAACAAATAACTTGGAAACCTGTCATCTGGGAAGAGTAATGCTTTTCTCAGTTTAGTATATGTAAAAAATAACTGCTGTCATATTGTGTAGCACTGTAATTTAAGCTAAGGACATACCATTTTGTAGTCATTGAAAAACTACAAAAGGAATAGCATCTTGTCTGCCACTGACCTTTATGAACCATTGTTGTTCGGATAGCTTTTTTTTTTTTCAGAACATTTGAACAGGTCATTTATACTCTAAATAGATACTCTATTACTATACATAAACTATTTCCTGCTGTGAGTTTGTCAGAATAAAATATTAAAATATTCATGCGTACCTAAGATATGTGACTGAGCAGAACGGTGTGCATTGCAGCTACTAATTACTCCTAACAACCCCTCATTTATAGAGCTGGCAAACATAGCCTCAAAACTCTTAAACACCTCTACAGGCCTGCCCTGTTAATTGGCGCCTTTCTTTAATCACTGCCACACACTTTCCCGCACCAACGGACTCTGTGCCTGGAGACAGATGCTCAGATTTTCTCTTTCTTCGCGCCTTGTTAAGGACGTGTTGCAGGCTGCGAGTGCGTGTCATCGGGGATCATGTTCTCCCCAGGGCTTGTTTAGCAGCAGTGAATATACAGTCCGCTGCTTCAGGGCTTATGGGGGGGTTTGGTCACACCAGTGCAGTCGACTGAGGACAAGTAAACAGTCATCAGATGGGAGGAGGGAGCAGAGCATGGCAGAGGAAGAAAAGGCACCACAGAAAAAAGATAAGGCATGTTCCCACAGTACTAAGGTAGTCTGCTGATCCATGGGCTCTCTTGGTAAGACTGCGATCCAACCATACAACAAACACTACACCAGGCACTACCTTCTTGTGAACACTGCATTTCTCTATTCAAATATTTATGATAAACCTCAGAAGTATGCCGTCTTATAATTAAGAAAGTATAATTAAGTTTTTTCTGGGTTTTGAGCAGCATCTTAGGATCTAGCTATTAGACGACTCTGGTTTATACAGTATTTTAGATTTGTTTAGATTACTTCAAATAGAATAATAACTTACTTATAAAAAAAGGTATGCTCATGCTTCAGTAAAAATGAGAGTTTGGTTTAATATAATGTTGTTGTTTTTTGTTAAGAAAAATGTGAATTCAAGCTGCATCATGAGAGATGTTTTTGCTTTGCTTTTTTCTCTTTTTTGGTCTAAGAAGGATGGGAAATGTACATTGCAAATGGCAGTGGTGTCAGATCAGCTGTGCGACACACACAGACAGGCAGCCAGTCAAACAGAGGAAGTGATTGTAGAGCACAAGGTGAAGAAAGAGGGAGGGTGTGTGTGGGGGAGATGTAGGGGAGTAGAGCGGTCTGGCAGAGAGAGAGTGGAGTGGTCTGGCAGAGGCAGACTGCCCTGTGATTGAGTGACAAGCTTTAAGGAGCTGGCAGGTAGCTGCAGTCACACATAGTGCCCTACAGTGGAAAATCTACTCAAGCTAGGACTGACTTCATGCTCTGAGAACTTCTCTGTGCTGCCTCTGAGGATGTTTACAATTCACCAAAGGATTTTTCCCAAAAGGAAATGGGCATGTGTACACCCTGGAGACCCCAAGTGCTTTTTTATACTTATATGGAACCCATACATAATAATTTATTAGACATGTCATTGTTAAATATGCTGTAAGTTCACTTAAAGTAAACATTATCTGAAAGCTGGATTTTACAGGGCACGTGTTGTGACTATAAACAACAACAAAAACAACACACAAAATAGTAAAGTAATAATAATTATAAAAAGGCCAATTATAAAAAAAGATTACTTAATTTACTTGCCTCAAGCCAGCTCAGAGTCCCACTGAGTTTTCGGACTGTCCAAGGTGACTCCACCTGTATACAGACAAAACTATGATCACAGTCATTGACAACACTTCAGCTGCTCGAACATGAGCAAGATCTGTTTTCACTTTTTTCAAAACTCATAACTAATTACAGTCAATAAACAGAAGCTTTCACAATATTTCTTCAATAGAGCTATGCATTACTTTATTTATTAAAAGGGCCCATATTACACTATTTTTGATCTATGTTATAATGTAGTTTCCTCATCAAAAACATACCTGGAGTTGTGTTTTGTTTCATTCATACATGTTTAACACACAAACCCCACATATTTAGGCTAAGTTCTTCTCTCAAACAGAAAACAATCCACCTTGGGATGTCTTGTGGTAATACAGCAAGCGCTTCTGTCCACTGTGTTTTTAAACCCCATACAGCTGCACTAGAATCATTTTGACGATTTCAGCCTTGGAATAGCCAGTCTCTACTGATTTAAAAGTAAAAGGTAGCTGTTATCAAAGTGGATCAGAACATTTTGAGTTCTGGAGATGTAAACAGACTAATAATAGGATTACTCAAACATGTGTGAATGAAACAAAACACAACTCCAGGTTTTTGATAACATAACATGACTTAACGTGCACAAGAATCCATTTTGTGTAATACAGAACCTTTAAGTAAGTTATTACCACTTATTCAAGCTTTTCAAAACAACAACTAATGGAAGAAACCATTTTCACAAGCACCAAAAGCTACATTCAGTCATAATACTAGTTTTCTATCAACACTTAAATAACTCAAAAAATATGTTTTATGACTTAGACAGTTCAGCAACATCAATATAAATGTGCACATAGTGTTCTGATAAAAAATGTGTTTTGCTTGTAAATATACTGAAGATGTCCTCAAGCAGCAGAAACACAGCTTCATCTTGGTAATATTGAGATTGAAATTAAAGGAAAGGATGATAACCAGATTAACTGATTACTAAAATAATTGTTTTCAGATCTAATGCACTGCAATTAGGCAGTTTAGTCACCTCTGATGTAGGTGTTTGTAGAGGTTAACACCCTGAAGTATAAAAGGTAAAAACCATTTATGCTGTTTAGTTTAGTAGAGTGACAAAAAAGAGGCCTGGACTGAGCAGTGGGATCTGCTGTAATCTCTTAAGGCTCTGAATGGAATAGGAGGGAGACTAGAGGATTTGGGGATAGAGGGCTTTGTCATCCGGGGCTAAGTGCTGTGCAGGAAGGGTTGCCTCTTCACAGACACTCACATTGTGCTCTCCTTCGGTGGAGCGCACTTCATAGCAGTAAGCCAGCAAAATGTCCACCAGGCTCAGCCACACTTGGCCACGGCTAGTTTTGTCAAACAGGTAGGAACGGTTGGTGAATCTCCTCAACTGCTCCTTCTCCTCTTCTGTAAAGAACACACCTGCAAAGGAAAAAACACCAATTATGCAATGAATTATTATTCATAAACTGGATAATCATCAAAACAGTCAGCTAGTGTCATTAGTGATATTTCTAAAATATGCAGATCAGCATTTTTATATTATTTTATATATATATATATATATATATTAGGGGTGTCAAATTATCGCGTTAATTGTGATTAATTAATTACAATCATATTTAGCGCGTTATGTTTTTTAATCGCGTTAATCTTATTTTTAATCTCTAACTTTACTGTTTCTGTATGCGAGTTGCTTTATTATAAAACCTGTTTTTATGTGTTGTTGGGACAACAACACACACACAAAAAAAAACACATTTATATATATATTTTTTTCGGTAATTTCACTCATTGCCGGAAACCCACACAAAACGCGCGCAGTAAGAGCGATGTAAACGTCATGTTAACGTTGGCGGCGTCAGTCGCACAATGGACGAGGTCGTAGAGCCAGTAGAACAGAGTCAGCAGTGCACAGGTAAAAACGCATTTTCGTCTTGGAAATTCTTCTCCCGACGTGAAATATAAAAGAAAATAACAAATATAAAATCGCCTACAACTTAAATGTCACTGGTGAAAACAACCTGCATAGACTCATGATGTCTGCACTACTGTCCTATAGTGACCTGCCACATGAGGGGACACGCACACAAACACAAAAACACACACACAAACACAAACACACACCTTCATCATCCTCATTAACCTGAGAACGCGCGGACCACCTTTCCTTCCGTAGTTACTGCGCGGACACCGCTGTCCTCCCGTGCGCCGCGTATGTTTTCCTTGCCCGCGAAACCAGAATAAACCAAGAACTAACCCAGTCCAGGACTAACCAGGACTAAACCAGGACTAAACCAGGACTAAACCAGAACTAAAACCAGGTCTAAAACAGGACTAAACCAGGACTAAACCAGGACTAAAACCAGAACTAACACCAGGACTAAACCAGGACTAAACCAGAACTAACACCAGGACTAAAACCAGGACTAACCCATTCCAGGACTAAACTAGGACTAAAGTAGGACTAAAGCAGGTCTAAACCAGGACTAAAACCAGGACTAAAACCAGTGATCTCACATATAAAGCATTTCTCTATCAATAATATTTTTAATAAGGTTAAGGAAAGACTGGACTTTTTATTGTCTTTAAGTAGACAAAAGTTATTATGTTCAGATTTCCTCGTCTTTGCTACTTTACAACAAACAGTTTCTTATTCATGGAGACTTGGGCTAAACAGCCAATTTGAAGAGATTTGTTAAACAATAAATGACTTTATAAAGTCACTTTTTTTTGTTCTATATCAGTCTTTTGATCTGCCACAATAATGTAATAATGAATTTAAATGAAAATACCTCAAATTGAAGGCTTTTCTCAGCAATTTTTAGGTGAGATTAAAATGAGATTCATTAGATTAATTAATTACAGATCATAATTAATTAATCTCTCAATTTTTTTTTATCGCATGACAGCACTAATATATATATATGTATGTATGTATGTATGTATGTATATATATGTATGTATGTATATATATATATATATATATATATATATATATATATATATATATATATATATATACACACATATATATGTATGTATATGTGTGTGTGTGTGTGTGTATATATATATATATATATATACACACACACACACACACAAAGACACACACATATACATCTCCTTAGGCAAGACACTTCACCCACATTGCCTAGTATGAAAGTGGTGTGTGTGTGAGTGATGGTGGTCGGAGGGGCCAATGGCACAGACTGGCAGCCTCGCTTCCGTCAGTCTGCCCCAGGGCAGCAGTAGCTTACCACCACTGAGTGTTGAGTGAATGAATAATGAACTGTAAAGCACTTTGGGTATCTTGAAAGGCGCTATATAAATGCCATTATTAATTAATTAATTAACTGATAATATATATCCTCTTTTACCTCAAATGTACAGAGTTCGGTGCTTTGTTGAAATTCACATTTATTCTCAGTGCCATTTGTTTTAGTTTTTTACTTGAAGAAAAATAGAGCAGCATGTTCTATTCCTCTGGATTCTATTCCTATGGAATTCATGTAAGGTTTCACTGAATGCAAGTGATACACTTCTCTTGTTTAACGACGAGCCTGGCTAATTCAACCATAATTTTAAATTGTAGACTCAGCCAGCTCACAATATCTGAAAATCTTCCAATCTCCTGCATTCAAGCATTATAAAGAGTGAACATCACATTCCAAACGAGACATCTGCCTAATGATGATCCAAGGCAAACCTAATGGCGCGTCACAAACCCACTGCATCCCTATTTAAGCTCTCTGCATCATTCAGTATTGAAAAGAGCACAGAGTGTTAGCAGGAAGCAACTGTTTCCCTCTGCTCACAGGAGCTTAGAAAACAGCTCAGAGCAATATTTTTCTCTGCATGAGAGAGGAGTCCCTGTGCTCAGCCTCAGATGGGGCGTGAATCATTGGTGCACTAGCTGGGGCCAGTACACAAAGAAGCACACACATATTCAAACTGTACTGTTGGCCTGGCATGGAGATTCCTGCTGACTTGTGTCATCTTGTAGCTCCCTGCTGCTCTACCTGAGTTCCCCAGCAGTGCAGCTGCATCAGGACAGCACAGCATGTAAGATAAGACACATACACACAGGCATTTGCTCCATTGTGTCCACACAGCGAGACATCTCACTAGGCATGAGATGGTGTGCTAATGTGTTTACCAATAGTGCTAAATGTTTGAAGCCAAATTGAGGAGGGAGAGTTCTTTTCATCCCTTCTGAACGCTTCCTGCACATCATGTGCAAAAACCAGTTAACTTTGTAATGCATTTGTAAATTTATTTATTTATTGGTTGAACTAATTACAACCAATTAACATATTTTTATTTGTCATCATAAATTATAAAGTTGTCAGATCTTCCTCACTTGAGGAAAAGAATGTCTCCTAAAAAGTCCAGTTTGATTTAAATAAATTTGCCATCTAATTACAGGAACAATGCCACTTTTCTGTTTAATCCACAGAGACACAACCCAGAATGAGCCATGATTAGTGAATCAGATGACCAATTCCTTCGAGCCGGCATTAGCAGAATAAGATCTATTTCCAATGGTTAGTGATTCTTTTAAATTAAAAGTTAAAAATACTATGGTAAGGTATCAGATACGCAGAATGAAATAAGAAAACAAGAAATATATAAGACATTGATGCATAGATGAGTATAGTGAAAGTGTAGTCAGCTTTCACACCGTTGTTAGGCAAAAGGTCACAGGACATACACTCATTTAAAGTCAGCCATAACAAAAGTGCCCTGGGTAAAGTGAGAGCACCTATTCGGGTTGATTTAACCAGAATGAACAGGAACAGCTGTGAGCAGTCAGTCTGCTGGTCTGATGCCGGAGGGCATAGGGTCACTATACACCATTTGTGCCTTGGTTCAAGGGATATTAGGTTCAAGTTCAGACTGACAAATCACAAATCACAAATCACACTAAGCACAGAATCAATTAATGATTCTCTTTTTACAATAGCCAGAAAGTTTTTGACAGCACAGTACACAGTACCCTCCTGACCTGATCTTGTGACCGACAAGTGTTCACAGTGAGCTGAGGCTAATGCTACTCAAACTGTCAATCAAGCCATTAAGTTTAATTCAGCCCATTTATCTACGCCTGGGCTCTGACTGAGCACTCAGCCTCTGAATACAAAATGAATGGAATGAGTAGACATGGCTGTGGGGAATCCCAGGATCAGCTCTAATGGCCTTTGAGTGGCTGACTGATGGCCGCTCATCTGCGATCAGACCAGTGTGCTGCTGCTGGTAACTCCTCCTGTGATAATGCTATCTATTTAATCTAAATCCTCTCTCAAGTGTGCCACAGCCGCATGCCAACATAAGCTGTGGATATGAGCCCAGCATCTGCTTAAGAACTGGAAGTGTGGGAATCCGCAGTCTGTTAGGAACACTACAGAGGAGAATTCAATTAGCTCCTACAGTGCTGAGGTCTCACAAGCTATCAGTACCCACTACAAAGGGACAGAGCACCAAGCAATGAAGACATAAACAATGTGCAAGAAGCAAAGAGCAGAAGCACGAAGCACTGCAGCATTAATTACACAATTCTCATTGATGTTCTTGGACTGTTTCACTAGTGACTTTCCTGTTGATGTACCCTGAGGCAGCTCTGTGGCCTATGCTTTGAGCTATGACCTTCCTCTGAAGAGACTAGACAAAGGACAAGTTCTTCCACTGGGAATTGATACTACAGAAAAGTCAATGGCCTGTAGACGCAAAGTCTAGCACAACACATTTGGAGTATTTAGACACATTGGTTAAGCCGTTGTTCTATTAAGAAAACACAAAGGCATTTTCTTTACCAACCACTGATTTATGTGTCCTGTTAAAATGCAATATGATAAAGCAGCCTCTCTCACATACTGATTACAGGCAATTTTTTTAGATAAAACTGGATAGAACTGAAGCCCTCATTTTGATACTTGGTTAATTGTTTAATGAAGTGGCAGCTTTAAATAAAAAAGAACTCACCAGTCTCTCCTTCTTGGTCCGAGGGACACTTCAGCTTTGTCCACCACGGTTTGTAGTTTAATAGCCCTTTTATTTCATCGTCCTCAAATAAATCAGCTCTGCGATGGAAAGCAGACACGAGCAAATAGGGATAGCAGCGGTACAGAATGTAAATGTTCTTTGCACTGATGATCTCACAGGTAATGGTCTGGAGAGAATGCCGTAGTCTCTGCCTCCTGTCGGGCCTGTCTCCTCTCTGCAGCGGTGGTACCTTCTGGGTTCTTAATGTCAGTCAAATCAGCCAGTTCTTCCTGATTGAGAACATGATATTGTATCCTTCAGCATGCAGTTATTAATATCAACTTTGAGTCATTACACTGATTTAAGTATGTTTTTACCTGTAGTCTAGCAAACACCCCAGTTCTTTGATTGCCAAAACCATATCTGTTCATTTGTGTCAGTTGCTCTTCTGGCATCTCCTGGTAAACCTGCTGCTCAATTTGCCAGTCGAATTCTTCCTCCCCTTCCTCATCCTCCTCTTCTTCACCTTCTGCACCTGCACAGCAAGCTTTAAGAGAGTTAAGAGACTCAAGCTATAAATGGTTTGATAAATTAGAAATAAAGCATAACAAGGGTGACTGAACCACTGCCAGACTCTAAAATTCAAATATGAATACAAAAAAGGTAGTTTATATTAATATAAATATCCTTCAGTTAAACTATAAAGTGCAAAATGTGACAGAATTCTACATTTATATCCTGAAGTCTGATTAGTTTTATACACGGTGCAGTGGATGAAAAAAGACATTTGAGCACTCAAATCCTGAATCTAAGGCACTACAGGATAACTTAACCATTTGAAATGAATCAATCAAAATACAACTTTTGAGTAAGCTAATGACAACAGAACACCATTATAACATGGTTCAAAAGCTCATAATGCACCCTTTTAAAATTGAGTCTTGAGGCCTGACCAATAACATTATTCAAATTCAGTCTTACTTACAAGCAGTAATTTCCTCGATGAGTGGCTTTGCTGATTTTGAGCCTTTTGGGGCCAGTAGGCTTGTCAGCAAATCAAGACCTTCAAAATGCTCACCAGCCGTCTCTTTTGCAACCCTAAGAGTGAACAGCCCTAAAAACCATAGCAACACACAGTTTGGTTCTAGACTATGTTAATTTTCTCATAAACAAAAAACTGACAAGATATGCTTTTATATAAGTGGTACAGTGGCTAGCACTCCTGCTTCAGAGCAAGAAGGTTCCGGTTTTCATCCCTGGATTCCCTGGACGTTTCTGTGAGGAGTTTGCATGTTTTCCTTGTGTCTGGGTTTCCTCTGGGCACTCCTGAGGAAATCCATACACAAGGAAAGAAGATGCCAAATTCCAGTTTCCTTATGGGGACAATAAAGTGTACCTTAACCTTAATGGTACTCTTCAACTAATCAAGAAAAAAGGCACTGATAAAATTACAATGATTTGGTTCTAGTGCAGAGATAATTAGATGGTTGTTAAGACAACATAACAGTTCAATGTTCAGCGTAAGTGTGAAAGCTGAGTAATTGCTTAAGACGTAGGCCTAAAAAGGGACAGCCGAAAAGGATCTTAATGACTGCTCATTACAAGTCTAAACAAGGACACTAATTGGTGGTGCTTTATAAGCAGATGGTACAAGCTTCTTTTGAAGTGTGTGTTAACAGAGGCCATGCTGACTGGTGACAACAAGATGTCACAGTCCATAAGGTAGACATCTACATAAAGAGAACTTCATTACAGCTGATTAGGAGCAACGGAATGTCAAAAATACACCACGCTGACAGAGCCACCACTGAGCTGAGCCAATAACCACTCTGATGCCCCTTATGCTCCTGTCATATACTTTCAGAGGAGGCTGCATGAAATTCCTACCAGTGTCACTGAGGCAGACATTACAGAAACATTAAAAGACAGATGGCTCCAGTGACCCTTAAATGGGATTAAATAACATGATCAGTTTGTTAATGTAGCTGGAATGGCTCAAGTTCAAACTAACAAGACTTTAGGGATCTTCTACAAACTGAAGTAGCCTATGTAATCTGACTTAATATGGTAATATAGTAATATTTAACCTGCACATAATTTAATCAATAGCACACAAAATGTTATTTGAGAAGCATAAACAAATGCATTAACCATTTTGTTAATTTTCTCATGACTTCATGACCTGATCTTACCCACCACAGGTCATGAGAATGAAATTGCCAAATTTCAACAACTTAAAATGTCAATACCCACTGTAAATGAATGTACCTTTGTCAATGTTGAATGTGGCCTTTTCTCGTCCATCCTCGACTATTCTTCCTGGAAGAGTCAGCCTAAAAAGAAAACAAAACTTTTAGCATTGACCTAGTAGCCTAAATGTTCCATAAAGCAAAATATGATATCATACTCACCTCAGAAAATATGGTTTGGCAAAGAATTTGAAATCATTTCCATCAATGTAGAGGTCAAACTCTGAAGTCCTCGTGTAGGGTACACGGATGCTGACAGTGAGATAGTCAGGATCCTGGCTCAGCTCAAACGCTGGAGTTATCATGATGAATAGAGTATGGCAGACCTGTGGGAGCAATCGCACGCATTTGTTGGAGCGCGATCTACAGCACACTGCACGAATACATCACAACCCGCTTATAGCATGCCACCTTGTGGTTGCCTCTTAAATGTTACAATTCATCAACAGTTCCCAGAGCCTATGAGCTTAGACTGTGATCAGCAGATATAAGGTGACCAGCTTTTCAAAATTCTAAACTGGGACGTACCTGGGTTGGGATGGTTGGTATAAACATAACTGTAAAAAGATTGTGTAAAATTGTCCAATCAGAGTACATTTCTTTACCTTATGGTCATTTTCAAGCACGGTTTTCTATATTTCACCTAAACAAATGACAATATTCTCTTTACTGTTGCCGGGTATCAATCTGGCCAAAAATAAGGACACCTGGGACATCTCGCGTATAAAACTGGGACAAGTCAATGGTCTTAGAAAAATCTGCTGGGGCAGGGGACAGAGGGCTCAAAACTGGGACTGTCCCGGGTAAACAGGGACATCTGGTCACCCTAATAAGCAGATAGCCTTTAGACGACTCGACCTAATAACAGGCTACAGAAAATCTGTCAAAACAAATAACTTTATACTTTGGATGTCAACTGTTGGCTATAGTCTGTGACAGAAATGTATGTATATAAAATGTAAATATTAGGTGACAGCATACCGTTTCCTCGTCCTCGTGTGTGATGTTGACAGCTAGTGTAGCATCATGCTAACAGCACCAACAACAAGCCTTTCTTGGCTTCTGTTGCACCAATTGCGGAAAATAAATGTGATCATTAAACATCGGACATGTTTGAGAACATGTATTGTTGGGAATAAACACACGCCAAACAAGCTGACTATCAAAATGAACAGTGATAAGAGAGGAGAAAGTCCCACGTTTCTCTCTATGATGCAGCGTCCATGTTTTACCGTAATATACACGCAGAGCGCGCAGTAAAAAAAAAAAAAAAAAAGTTTACTGGTGTTACATGAAAGCGGCCCAATTTAAGGTAGATAAATACACAGTGATTGTTTTGTCCTAACGATATTAAGGTTTAGCCTAATGAATGAGCTTATTATGATCGCGCCTGTGTGATGGAATTGGCTTTCAGCCTCATATTTACAGATGAGTTAGAGTTACTACACATCTTTCACAGTCTCATGAAATATACAATGCACTGCTGCATTGTTTTCCTACTAGACTAGGATGAAGTTAGGTGAATAAACTATCAAGTTAATAGGGTCCCTTGCTCTTTAAGGGCCTACATTATTTTCTGATCTATGTTATAGGTCTGATGTTAGGTCTAAAGGCATATGAATATGGAGTTTATTTCATTGTAGTTAGTCGCTTTTTCAGCCGACATTACGACTTGAGCCTAAGCCCCGCCCCTCAGTGTGAGATCCTGCATGGACGATGAGAATTGTCTCTCCGCTCTCCATCATCATCTGCACTGCGAGGCGAGCGGGGAGCGCTAACAAAATGTCAACTGGATCATGGACGTGAGCGGGTGGTGCTGCGCCGTGGCCTGCCGCAACAAGTTGCCCTCGCCATGCGGATCCACTGCAGAGTACTTGTGCTCGCCTTGTGCCTCGGAGTTTTCTTACTTTTATACTTTTTAGGGGGAAACACTGCGGACGAGCCGCTGTTGAAACAAGTTGTAATTTTGAAGCCAGAGGAGAAGCGCAACTCTTCACCGTCGCCATCGGAGCTCGGACGCGATGTTGCAGCGAAGTTTGCGGCAAAGAAACCACCGCTCAAGGCTCGGAAAGAGGGGAAAGCAGTCATCAAAGTGGCAAATGCGAAAAGGTGAGCGCAGTTTGCCCTTTCTCTCCATTCTCGCGCACAAAAGCGCCGCTAACAAGTTGCAAGGACTGTTAGAAAACAAATGTCGTCTTGTCCATTTATAAAACATATCTGCATCCACCATCTGTCAAAGTAATCCGACGTGGAAATAGATTCTCTCTGCAAAATATCTCTTTGACTTTCATTTCCCGTTTTTTCAGGCTTTGACTCTCACTGGATTGAAATGACTAGCTGTTTAAAAGCCAGTAAAATGCGAGCATTGCTAATGGGGTTATGATGGAGGTATTTGCAAAGATAGGTTATCTGGCACATGCTAAAACACATAATCATAAATCATACCTGAGCGCTGTTAGTTGTTTTGCCCTTATTGATCGTTTTATTCCCTTGCTGTTTCTTAAAGGGCACCTTGACATATAGCCTACATTGTAATAAACCTAAACAAGCAGACCAATTTGTTTACAATCTGTTTCAGGACAGATTGCAGTTAGGGCTCTATAAAAGTTGACCATGTGGATGCTGAAGTTGATATAAACTAGCCTATATTATGATATTAAATACAATTTTAATATTTACTGTTGCCCATGTTTGTTAAATCATTATAGGCCACTTTATTTGTATCCAAATGACAAATCATTTGTTCTGTGTCTTCATTAATAGCAAACTTCAACTCATGTGGCATACACACTTATTTTAGAGAGTCAATTATTTTTATGCAGAATGCAGGTTGTTATCCACATCCTGTTGCTATAGCTGTGCTACACAGCTACTGTTAAAAGATGTGTGATTATTTCAGGGTCTGTCATGATTATTCATTCTGAAAACATCTGATGTGTCTATTTCTTAGGTATCGAGGATATGTTTTACAGATTTTTTTTTTCTTATTGCAAACAGCAAAAATGCACTGAAATAAATCATCACTTTGCTATTTTTGTTCAAGGATGAAACCTTTTTATTATGGCTTTCAAATTCCTTTCTGCATCCCTTTGGTCTTTTCTCTGTGGATGCAACGTTACCATACAATGTGGCTGTTGAGATACCCTCTCCTTTTGCAGTCAATAATATGTATTCTGCACGATGCCAAATCCAGGCTGAAGGTTGGGGACAGTGTTGGGGAGATAAAAGCCATCAAGACGTTACATGGAGAGAGGGACCTTTGCGTCCTCTCAGAAACTACACTGCAGCGCATGTGCTTGGCACAGATAAGGCAGATGGGGTGGAACGGGCCACAGGAGGATGAAAAAAGGATTGGAAATACGAAGCCTGTCTGCTATACGCACACTCACTGGTGATGCACAGTGTGTTGCAAATGTATATTCATTATTAAATTACTGTCAATACTTGAGTGGCAATAGTTCACTTCATTGTTTTAGGCCTAGTTAGTCCTAGTTTCACCTTGTTGTCCTCGTTGAGAATCAGATGTAACTTTTACTGTAAAAAAGTGTGTTTTAACTGGTTAGATTGATATTGCATTGTGTCTTTTTGTTTGTTTATTGCAATTATCATGTCTGGCAGCAATACCAAATACTAAATAGATTCACTTGTGTCATTTATGTTTTTGCTCCGTGACCCCTTTCATCTCACAAATCAGCGTGTTGATGAGCCGCTTTCTGAATAGACAAACAGGCTATGTTTTCTAATCTTATCATTTCCTCCCAACACATCACTCTACTTCCTGTGTCCAAAAATAGAAGGAAGAGCTCCAGCTGTCATCCAAACACCAGGCAAATACAATAGCCTGCATGGGCAACAGCTGGGCGTAGCCATATGTTGAGCAGAATGACACACATAGCATTGAGCCTGGCATATTTGTGGACTTAATTGCTGAAAGAATACAGTAATTAAAAAGTCAACAAAATAGTAAAATGCTGCAAAATTCCTGACTGGCTAGCCACAACCACATGCTTTGACAATACATAGATGCCTGAAACCATTTCCTGTCTCTTGATTTCCAATGACCGCCATTGACTGGCGAATTAACCAGTCAGAGGAACACATGGTTTGTTCATGTCAAAGCAAACATGGCGGCTTCTGAGTAAATTTTTAAGAGGATGATCAGGCAAGTACTCAAAAAGTACTGAAAATTGAGCTTGGTTAAGAGAGCATATCTACATTTCCCCACTGTGAGATTAAAAAGCTGTACGCTGATTAATCAGTATACAATCCTGTTAGTCATACCAACATTAGTCTTAGAATCTAGACTAGAGTGCATTTGAGTTGTAGCATTCATTAGATAAGCAGATGACTAAGCATGAGATAAAACAGAAAAAAAACCTATACTTCCTCCTCCTCCATCTTGCTTTATACTGAATAACAAACCCAATCAACACCTTACTTATTAGCCGTAGGGCAATCAAATCAAATAGTGTTTTATGTCCCCAAAGCGAAAACTACTGCACAAAAAACAACAGGCTGCAAGAGTAGAATCATTCATCATAAGCTACAACAATGAAAGTGGACTGAAGCAAATTAGCTGCAGTGCCTTAACGGGGAAAGAGACAATAGCAGTGGAACGAGGTCTGTCTGATGCCATAAAGCTATTCTATACTCACACCTACTGCTAATCTAAGCTGTGTGAGCTGAGAACGCACAGTGATCAGAATAACATGCATCCTGTTTGACACTAATCCTCAAGTGTTGTGTTCAGGTGTATTTAAATTTCACTCTTCATTATATTTGCATACTAGAGCGTGCATGTTAACGTGGATGTAACCCTGCTTTGTTCTGCCTTCTTAAAACGATCATGTACAGCTCTGTTGATTCTCTGCCTAGAGACAAATCCCTGCCGAGTCCTTTTAGATAGAGTTAAGCAGTGTTCCTTGGCATTAGCAGTCACTCCTGCGCTGTAGCATTATGTCTCGCTATAAAAATGTCACCTAGCATGACGGAATACTCTCCCCATGAGGAGTGAGGTTTAACTTGGCCCTGTGAAAACTAGGAGAGTTGCTGGAATAGGGCTCAGTGGTGTTACATATGTCTACTTGCTTTTAAACGGTTCCTTAATGAGTCATAACGGGTGTGGGAGGAAAATATAACCATCTAGATACTTGGTCCAAGACAAAGCAGGAGGTAGCAAGGCAAAGCATAGAAAGTGAAGGGAATAGTACTATTTTGGTAACACATTTTGAAGCATGACATATTGCGACATAGAAATAATATAATAACGATAATATTGAGATCACTTTACAAAGCAGGATAATCCCAGTAAACATTTTTTTTAATTGTCAGTTTCATTAAGATGCATTAGCTGCAACAAATAAATAGCAGAATCAAAAATTATTCGCCATAGAAGATACTTACAGTGATATCATATTACAATGGAAATAACTCAAATCTCACCACTATTGCAAAGAAAATGTGCACACGAGCAATATTGAGCCTCAAAATATATTGTTCTTGATATCATATATTGAATGATAAGTTGATATAGTAATTATTGTGCCTGACGTGACAAGCCTAGAAGGGAATGCCAAAAGATTTAGCTTCAAGCTACGAACAGATAGTATTGCTCAAAAATAATGAGGTTGCTTAGTTCACCTCATCCCCTTTGTATAAACAACATTTTTTATTTTATTTAAGGCAGTACTTGATATCTGCCCTGTGTGTTTTGGTGGACTTAATGTGGAGATCAAGAAATGATCCAGATCCAAAACATCAAGATTCCAGAATTATGGGGTCAACTCAAACCACAGCTTATGTTGCAAGTTGACATTGTTGGTGCATCTAGTTTAGTGTGCTGTTGATGTAAAAATGTATTTAATAGGCAAGCTTTTCCAATATCAACTTCAGCGTAATGCTTCACTTGTCAAATGCTTTTTTTTAAATTATGAGGACATACATTCTTTTCACAGCCAACACTGGAGAAAGTCAACAAGCTGCTGTTACGTTTCTGGCTAAAGTGCTTGTGTTTTTAAGTCTGGCATGGATAGTTGCAATAAATAAGACTATTTGCAAAGCATAACTTGGCTACAGACAAGTAGTGGTGTTTGGAAACCCATGTCAACATAAGCCACTTATGATTGATTTCAGGTTTTGTTAAGTTTTGTTTTAGTCCAAGTTCTTGATCGTCATAGAAAATATATAATATATATATAATAGTAAATGAATGTAATGATTGGCTGACTAGAACTGTCTGCATAAAGCTTCAAAGCTTTCATAATATGAATATGCATTTGGTTTATAGAGTGCTTGTACAAAAACATGTTGGTAGCAGGGGGGTGTGAATCATGGTGTGAATTTAAGTTTCCTTTCAGTTTTCTTGCTCATATAAAATGAAGGCCCATATGGAAAAGTTATAGAGAAATCATACACCATTTTAACACATTTTATCTGAATCCTAAAAGATTTGTATATGACAGTGAAAACAGTTACAAGATCTTTGGTAAATATGTGCAGCATGAAACATATAAAACTTTGTAACCTACAAGAGCTGAATATGACACTGATCCCACACACAATATCCTCACAAGTGTTGGACAAAAGTCATTTATTTCATAGAAAAACAAGTGAAATGATGATTGTTTCCTTAAACTTGATTGCTGTGTTGTGTGTGTGTGAGAGTGAGAAAGAAAATTATCACAGTGTGTGTTTGTGCGTGTGTGTGTGTGTGTCTTTGTGTATGTGTCTGTGTGGTGGGGATGTGTGTGTGTGTGTGTGTGTTGAGCAACATGGGGGTAAACACGGTAATGCAAATATTGCATTACAACCTTAAAAACCATCTTCCACTGATATCACAGTGAACATACATCAGGCTGTAAAAATATTTTTACTCTGCAAAATCCTAATTATTACAAAGGTCTATAATGACTTGTAATATTCCAAAAAGCAGCTACACACTTATGTTTTTTTCACACGCCTCAACAGAGAAGATGTCATATCAGTTACAAATACCAAGGTACTTGTAATTGTCCTCAATATCTGCTATTGTTCCCTCTAAATCAGCATTTAGTTTGCTCAATTGGTGAGTCACTGGATCCACATGGGAGACCTGGGTTCAAATCCCCCTT